GAGGAGGGTGGGCGGAGAAGGAGGAGGAGGAGGAGGAGGAGGAGGAGGAGGAGGAGGAGGAGGGAATGAGTAGGGAGGAGAAGGAATAGGGGGGAGCAGGAAGAGGCGGAGGAGGTGGAAGAGGAGGAGAAAGAAAGGGAGGAGGAGGAGGAGCAGGAGGATGAGAAGGAGGAGTACCATAGCAAGCCCAATTCGCATCTACGATTTTACGAGAAGCCCTCCCTCCAAGTCCCCTTTTCTTCCGAACCGCACTGGAAGTGCCTCGTTGGAAGACACGTGTCTGAGAGTTTCCAGTCGGAGAGCTGGCGTAGGACGCCCCTGAAAAAAGTGCTGACGCTCTGGATGCTCCTGACGCTCCTGGCACCTGGGGCGTCAGGAGCGTCAGGGGCGTCAGGAGTCTACGGCATCTGGAGCGTCAGGAGCGTCAGGAGCGTCAGCGGCGTCAGGGGCGTCAGTTCCGTCAGGAGCGTCAGAGCATCAGGAGCGTCAGGCGCGTCAGGAGTGTCAGGGGCGTCAGTAGCGTCGGGAGCGTCAGGCGCGTCGGAGGCGTCAGGGGCGTCCTCAGCTCTGGCACCGCCGCTCGACATCCTTTCACTTCAGCGCCGCCGCTCGAGGCATACTCACAACTCGAGCGCCGCCGCTGGAGACATCCTCACAACTCTGGCCCAGCTTGGAGCCCCCCTTGTGAGCCCGACGAGGTCATGCTGGAACACTCGGGGGACCCCAGGAAGCACGCGACGCCCGCCAGGGTGCACGCGACAAGCCCCGAGAAGTTTAAGAGTTTGGGGTGGGCGTTCAAAAATCCTTAGGATTGGGGACTAAGGCTTGGGGGATCAAGAAGGGACCTGGGGGTATTCCAATTCGCGCCTCAGTGCAAGGTGGCTGATTCGGCCACCCTCTTCGTCTTCCTCTCCTCCACCCCTCCTCGCCCAGTCGGCCGCCGTGTAGCGATCCACGTGCCGGCAGAGGCAGCAGAGGGGCTCGTCTTTGGAAAACGCACCCGCCATCTCAAGTTTGCCCGGTCCCCCCCTCGACGTCCTCTTTCCCTCTCGTCCTGTCGCCCTCGTTCGGGGGGAGAGAGGAGGAGCACCAGAAGGAGAGCGTGGATGTGGAGAATTCCCCGCGCGGGCGGGTGCTCTTATATTGTTTGTTTTCCCCACCGTGCCGGCTTGGAGGTTCTTTTGATTTGCCCGTTTCTGGCGGCCCCGGGGCCCGACGACGCCCCCCGAGGGGCCGACATCGAGCCGGAAATGTCGGCATCGCCGTCGCTCCCGTCGGCGTCGTCGTCGTCGTTGTCGTTGTCGGTCCCGTTGTCTTCGTCGTCGTCGTCGTCGTCGTCGTCGTCGTCGTCGTTGTCGCCGTCGCTCCCGTTGTCGTCGCCGCCGTCGTCGTCGTGCTCTCTCCGTCATCCGACCTCCTCCCTCGCTGCTTCCTCTTTTTGCCATTGGCCCAAGAACGCATGCCCGTCACTAATCACACCTTTCGCCACGACGACAAAGCGACGACGACGATGACGACGACGAGGACAGCGACAATGGAGCCGTCTTGGGCCTTCTCCAGCCCCTTTGGGGCTCGCTTTTGAAATATACCCAAGCAAAATGACGCCCCTGGCGCCCCCGAGGCCCCCTGCGGGTCCTGGGGCCACTGACGCCCTTGGTGTTTCTGACGCTCTTGACGCTCTGGTGCTCCTGACGCCCCTAGCGCCCCTGACGCCCCTGACGCCCCTGGCGCCCCTGACGCTCTTGGCGCTCCTGACGCTCCTGACGCTCCTGACGCTCCTGACGCCACTGACGCCCCACGCCCCTGACGTGCCTGACGCCCCGGGCGCTCCTGACGCTCGTGACGGTCCTGACGCCCGGGGCGCTTCTGGCGCTCCAGGCGTCCTTGAGCGTCAGGAGCGTCAGGAGTGTCAGGAGCGCCCAGGAGCGTCAGGAGCGTCAGGAGCGTCGAGCGTCAGTGGCGTCAGGAGCACCAGGAGCGTCTAGCCCCGCGGAGCGTCAAAAGGTTCAGAGCGTCAGCGCTCTGCGGGCCACCGCTGCGTCGCCGCTCCTCAGTCGGACCTGTGCACAGTTCCTGGAACTTCAATGCCGCGAATCAATGTGACCGCCACGCCCTGAGCATCCTAAATCGTGTCAGAACACCGTTCCTGGGACTCCAACACCGCGAATCAACGTGACTGCTGCGTCCAGGCTATCTAATCGTGCGAGAACACCATTTCTGGGCCTTCAGCAATACGATCATTGAACCTATTGCAAATTTCGAACGCGAGTGTTCGTGTCTCTAAAGCGAGAGCCGCATTTTGAAAATGGGCCGCCCTCCATCCGTGAAGTTGTTATAAGTTTCACGAACGATTGTGTGCGCCGCTAAGGCAGGAGACACATTTCGAAAACGCCTCGTTCTCCATCTTTGAAACTGTCGAAGATTTCAAGCCTCAGGACCAGAAATGGTGAGGACGTCTCAGACGAAACGCCCGGCCCGCCCTACCAACACATTGGGGGATGCGACGGGAAGGACTTGCTGTTACGGAGAATGGATGGAGGAGGAGGAGGAGGAAGAGGAAGTCTCTCTGATGGCAATATGTGGCGCGGGGAGGCGTGCTTCGTGTCCGACTGGCACACGGACCATGGTGCCTCGTGCCCCTGCGGCGAGGAGAGCGCGGGCCCAGGGAGGGGGATCTGAAGAGTTTCCGCCATCACGTAGAAGTAACAACTCTAGCGACTACCCTGACCAGCATGATGAACGAGACCATGAGGAAGATCAGCGGCCGCACCAGGAAGAGCAGACATCAGTGAATCCAAATGCTTTCACCATCTTCTGAAGCAGGGAGTTCACACACTTAGCACCAGTCATGGCCCTCTGCAGCCCGCGAGCAACAAGCACTCACAGAACGCCTGACCAACCTGGACAAATTTGCTGAGCGGAACACGTGAAAACACGCTGACCACCGAGTTATGGGCATCCTCGACCAATATGCCCACAATGCTTGACGGGATTCTTAAACTATATAGACAATGACCAACGTGTAAGGAAGCGTAAGGAAGCGGCCCATGTCCCGACAATCGTGCCGTAAAGAGACGAAACCACCAACTCTGTAACAGACACGGGATCGAGCAGTGAAGCAAAGCGTAAGAAAAGCCTCCAGGCCCCCCCCCCCACGGCAGAAAGTGTCATATACACCCCCCCCGTGCGGTGATGGGCGAGTGCATCTCTGTACGGGGTAACGCCCGTGCCACTATGCACGGTACTCCGATCAACGATTGAGCCTTGCTTACACTCGCGAGAATGATTTTGTTGAGTTCCAATGGGCACGAACACACAGCCTGGCAAAACTATACCACACAACTTTGGCACTCCAGTCCCTCGCCCAATCACGGTATAATATAATACCGTGAACCATGAGGAAAAGGGCGACACACACCACCAATCCATTTATTGCCTGGATACGTAAGGAATCCATGACTGAAGAGACATCCAGCGATTGCATCTTAAATTTACAAGTACATGCGCTGCTTGTGAACAATGGCAGCAACCGAAACCTAGTCACACACACCGACTGGGCACCCCAGGCCCCTTCCCGGCACGGGATAGTCGAAGCCCGAGAACCATGGGGAAGAGAAAAGGAACAACACCATGATATTGCCGTACTCTGAGCACGAACAGCTGGAAATAACCTCAGCGACAGAATTCCAAGTTAGGCTAACATAACTGCAGTACCAGGCTGAAGTCAAGTCGCACCACACCACGTTCGCCCTGCTTCGCTGATGCGAACAGCTGCATGAATGCATGCGTCAGTCAAGTCGCCCCCCAGGCGCCCCGAGACGGCGCAGTGCCCAGATTCGCTGAGGCCAAGGTTCGAGCGCTGTGGACAAGGTTCGAGTTGGTGCTTCAGGGGCTTAGGAGGGGGGGGGAAGAGGGAGGGAGGACAGCTAAGCGAGAAGATGAGGACCCATACCCCCTCGGGTCGTGACAGCAAACACGACGGCAGTTGTTCTGCTATTTTCGGCCTCCAGGGTCCCTCAACGGGCCCCTGGACCTTCAAACAACGAGTCAGAACGGAAGGCCAGTTCTGGGGAATGTGTCAAGATCTCCGGGGTCCCCCTTGTGAAACAATCATGACTTCCAGGGTTTGGGAATGGAGGGAGAGAGAGAGGGTGGCAGATGAGGAGAAGGATTTTTTTGGGATGGTGGTGATGAGGACGATGACGACGGTGATGGTGGTGGTGGTTTTGCTGATGATAAGAATGTTAATGATGATGATGATTATGATAATGGTGATGATGCTGATGCTGATGCTGATGATGGTGATGCTGATGGTGGTGATGATAGTGATGCTGATGCTGATGCTGATGATGGTGGTGTTGGTGGTGGTGATGGCGACGGTGACGATGATGACGACGATGATGACGATGTTGATGCTGATGATGATGCTGACGCTGATGATGATGCTGATGAGGATGATGAGGCTGATGAGGATGATGGTGATGCTGATGATGATGATTATGATGATGACGATGCTGATGATGCTAATGATGATGCTGATGATTATGATGACGATGATGATGCTGCTGCTCCTGATGATGATGATGCTGATGATGATGCTGATGATGATGCTGCTGATGATGATGCTGCTGATGATGATGATGATGATGATGATGATGATGATGATGATGAGTGGTGATTATTGTCGCAAGTTTCCTGCGGAGGGTATGCCGCCAGTCTGGTTGTCTGGCCTCTGGCGCGGCCCAACCACCCATTGCGTGGTGGTGCTGGGCCCAAAAGGCAAAAGGAGGGCCCCGCCATGCTGTGCACCGCTTCCACGAGGAGAGACAGGGCTTGTGGCACCCAGTGCAGCACGTACAGGCCCCTGGGACCAAGCGACACCACACGTCGACGAGCGACTGACGACGACAAATGACAGTGGAGAAGGCGGACCGCCGATCCCACCCCAAGGCGGCGCAAGTGCGGGGAGTGAGCGGGGGAGGACACAGGATCTGGCGCCCCCCTGGGAAGGAACGCCCGGGTGCGAGGGTTTGTACTCCGAAGGCCCAGTGCCCCCCGCCTGCACCAGGGGGCGCTATGGTCCCGACACCCCTCTTGCGGGGATGCCCCTCCGTGGCATGATGATGATGCTGCTGCTGCTGATGAGGATTCTATTGATGCGGATTAGGATGAGGAGACGGATGAGGATGAGGATGAGAGTGAGAGTGATGGTTATGGCGGTGAATATTGATATGGCGATGGTGGTGGTGGTGAAGATGTTGATGATGGGGATGCTGTTAATCATGATGGTGACGTTGATGGTCGTGATGGTGGTGATGATCGCGATTATGTGTAAGCGGCGTTTTACGTATGATTGTGATGGGTGATTGACGATGGTTCGTGGTGGTGGTTATGCAGATGACTATGACGATTGTTGTGGTGGTGATGGTTAAGATGCTGGTGGTGATGATGGTGATGATGGTGATGACGATGTTTATGGTACTGTTTGTGATGATGTTGTTGGTGATGATGGTGATGCTGATGAGGGCAAGGAGGAAGATTGAGACGATGCTGGTGAGCAGCAGGAGGCCAGTTGCATTCTTCTAAGAGGAGGAGCCGATTGAATCGGATGCTAAATACGGGTGGAAGTGAGGGAAAGGAGGGTGAGGTCCAATGCATCGAATTTCAAAGACTCCGAAGGGATTCGGCGGGTGAGGTTGTTATGGTAAAAGGTGGCTTAGGAGAAGAAAGAAGCGGAGGAGCAATAGGGAGGATTGAGCGGGATGAGGACTAGGATAGAGACGCGGGAGTTGATGGGGCCGCCCGAACGCGAAGCCGCCACGGGGGAGGCGCCATTTCTTTGTGGCTTTCCGCCCAATATGTCTCCTGGGCCAGGGCCGAATTTGAAAGATTTGCTTGTCACTTGATCGGCTAGCGTTGGCCTTCCAGACCGTTACAGCGTGCGCCTAACAATGCTCAGTCCTGGGGCACACAAGCGGTTTCGCTTCAAATGCTCGGACCTCTCCGCAGGTGCTTTGGTGGCGCACCCAAACGATGGTGGCGTGGTGATCGGTGGAGCGCTTCGTGACAACAACCATAGATCTGGCTTCCGGGTCACCTGCATGAGCGCGAAGACCACGATATTTTTTTGTGGTCAGGGCTGCACAGCAACCTCTTTTTGAGGTGGCGCAGCGCGAGAAAGGGAACGAAACAGGTGTCGCGTTTCGCGTTGCACGTCGCGAGACGTTCGGTGATCTAGGTTTCTCCCAACCATCTTCTGGTGTTGGGTCCTCGTTTTGAAGAAACGGCGTTTCGCGTTCCTCCTTCTCCTTTTCCTCCTCCTCCGCCCCCTCCGCCCGCCCTTGCCTGCCTCTGCCCCCGGCATGTCCACCAATAAGTCGCACCCACTACAGCGTTTCGTTGTTTCATCGGGAGCTCCACTGAAGGCCCCAATGGCTGTGATCACATGTGTCCCCACCATTTTTTCTGCACACCCCTCACACGTTTCGTGGCCCCATAGGGAGCTCCACCGAAGGCCCCAGTGGCTGTGATCCCATGCGTCCCCGCCACCCATTTCGGCACACCCCTCACACATTGGAGCTCCACCGAAGGCCCCAGTGGCTGTGATCACATGCGACCCCGCCACCCATTTCGGCACACCTCTCACGCGTTTCGTGGCTCCACAGGGAAGGAACTCCGCCGAAGGCCCCACTGGCTGTGACCACATGGGTCCCCACTACCCATGTCGGCACACCTCTCTCTCGCGCTTCGTGGCCCCATAAGGAGTTCCACCGAAGGCTCCAGTGGCTGTGATCACATGCGTCTCCGCCACCCTGTCTGGCACACCTCTAACATGTTTCGTTGCCGCAAGGGGAACTCCGCCGAAGGCCCCAGTGGTTGTGATCGCATGCGTCCCCGCCACCCATGGAGGCACACCCCTCACACGTTTGGTGGCCCCATAGGGAGCTCCACAGAAGGCCCCAGTTGGTGTGATCACATGCGTCCCCGCCACCCATTTTGGCAGACCCTTCGCACATTTCGTGGCCCCACAGGAAGCTCCGCCGAAGGTCCCAGTGGCTGTGATCACATGTGCCCCCGCCGCCCATGTCGGCACACCCCTCGCACATTTCGTGGCCCCATAGGCCGCCCCACGAAGGCCCCAGTTGTTGTGATCACATGTGCCCCCGCCACCCATTTTGGCAGATCCCTCACGCATTTCGTGACCCCACAGGGAGCTCCGCTGAATGCCCCAGTGGCTGTGATCACATGTGCCCCTGCCGCCTATGATGGCACACCCCTCACACATTCCGTGGCCCCATAGGTTGTTCCACGACGGCCACAGTGGCTGCGATCACATGCGTCCCCGCCACACATTTCGGCACACTCCTCACTTCTTCGTGGCCCCCTGGAGCCCCACCGAAGGCCACAGTGGTTGTGATCACATGCGCCCCCGCCACCTATTCCGGCACACCTCCCACACGTTTCGTGGCCGCATGTAGAGCTCCACCGAAAGTCCAGGCGGCTGTGATCACATGCGTCCCCGCCACCCATTTCGGCACATCCTTCACACGTTCCTGCCCCCTAGGGAACTCCGCCGAAGGCCCCAGTCGCTGTGATCACATGGCGCGGCGTTGCACCATAATGGAAGTATGTGCACCAGCGAAGGCATGCGCAGT